CCCTCGGTGCCCCCGCCAGCAGGCGGTGAGGGCTCACCCCGCCGAGGGACACAGGCCCCCCGTACCCCCTGCCCTGCCAAGCGGCTGCGTGCGGGGCTGAACCGGGCCTGGCAAAATGGCCTCGGAGGCGGTGAAGGTGATCGTGCGCTGCCGGCCCATGAACGAGCGCGAGCAGGCGCTGGGCTGCAAGGCGGTGGTCAGCGTGGAGAGCGCGCGGGGCCGGTGCTTCCTGCAGAACCCCGCCGCCGCCGGCGAGCCCCCGAAGCAGTTCACCTTCGACGGGGCGTACTGCCAGGAGCACAGCACGGAGCAGATTTACAACGAGATTGCCTACCCGCTTGTGGAGGTGAGCGGTGCCCAAAGTGCCCGGCACAGCCAACGCGTAGCTCGAGGTGTGGGCTGAGTTTTACATGGGTAGGTGATCCCAAAGCAGAGCTGATTTACAGAGAGAAAACAGTCCTGTCCGCTGCTGTAAGAGCCTTAGCTGGAACCCTGGGGTGCGGAGGGCAAACCAGCATCCCAGCAGTAGGCTGGGAAATGGAGGAGAAAAAAAAAACTTTTTCAGCAGCCGGTGAAGGCACTGAGGATAGAATTACATTTAATTGTTTTAGGCGGATGTTTATATGAAAGATGAACCCCTCTGAGCAGGCCGTGGAGATGGTATCTGGACAGAAATTGCAGTGGAAAGCGATGTGAGGAAAAGGGGCACCAACAAGACTCCTGAGGATTTCAAGGACGTTTTTACTTCCTAGAGAAGATAGGGAACCTCAGCCTGTTTTGAATAGCAAAATGAGAGGTGATATGTTTGTGGCCTTTTAATACATCAGCACGATAAACAGCTAGGTGAAAAAGGAATCTGTTAAGCAAAAGAACCACAGTTTCCTCAAAAAAACCCAATTTTGTTAGAAGAAGAAACGGATAAAATGGCTAGGGATATTTTTAAAATGGAAGTTCCTGATCGGGAGAACAACCAGGGTCTGAACAGTAGGTTGTTAGGTTTATAGATTATTTGCTTTTTCTTTAAACCTTAAGAAATCCAAATATCTTCTGTTCCTACCATGCTTCTCTGAAATAGGACCAAGTGGAAGTGAGGCCTTCTTTCAGCCAGCTTTCTGAGAGAAAATGAGAATAATGAGCTAGAGACCGTCCTTTTGGCCACCCTACAATCAACTAGCGTTCTAGTCGTCTCTCTGGGTTTCGTAAGACTTTTCAGCCCTATGGCAAAAATATTCTGGTCTTCTAAGTGTTGTCAACTGCCCTTCCTCTTTTTAACACCTGCATTTCTTCAAGTTTTCTGTTTTTCACAGAAAATCATCGATTTATATGGTAGCAGAACGCATTTTTTTGTTATTACACTGTGATGGCGTATGAAGGTCAAGCAGTTGTTTGATGGTTACTTCCAACTCTTTCTTTAAAATACCTTTTATGAGGTGGGGTTCAATCCATACAACATACTTCCATTTTATCTGCTTTTCCTCTGTTTCCAGGGTGTTACTGAAGGCTACAACGGCACCATATTTGCCTACGGCCAGACTGGCAGCGGGAAGTCATTCACCATGCAGGGAATCCTGGATCCTTCTACACAGAAAGGCATAATACCCAGGGCATTTGAACACATTTTTGAGAGTGTGCAGGTAGGTGTGTAACCATGTTAAAAGGATCCCATTGTAAGATGGTGTGATAATCTAGAAACGCCAAGGAGCGAGAGCCAGTCGCACTCAGGAACAAGAATGGGGACAGGCTTTTGGATATGCTGCCTCTCATAGAACGGTTTGGGTTGGAAGGGACCTTCAAGATCATCTCGTTCCACCCCCCTACCATGAGAGCAGGGACACCCTCCACTACACCAGGTTGCTCAAAGCCCCATCCAACCTGGCCTTGAACACTTCCAGGGATGGGGCAGCCACAGCTTTTCTGGGCAACCTGTGCCAGTGCCTCGCCACCCTCAGACAGAAGAATTTCTTCCTTAGATCCCATCGAAATCTCCCCTCTTTCAGTTTAAAGCCATTGATTGCCCCTTGTCCTGTCACTCCACACCCTTGTCCAAAGCCCCTCTCCAGCTTTCTCAGAGCCCCTTTAGGTACTGGAAGGTGCTGGAAGGTCTCCTTGGAGCCTTCTCTTCTCCAGGCTCAACAGCCCCAACTCTCTCAGCCTGTCTCCAGAGCAGAGATGCTCCAGCCCTTGGATCAGCTCCGTGGCCTCCTCTGCACCTGCTCCAGCAGCTCCACGTCCTTCTGATGTTGGGGACCCCAGAGCTGAACGCAGCACTGCAGGGGGGTCTCAGGAGAGCAGAGCAGAGGGGCAGAATCCCCTCCCTCGACCTGCTGCCCACGCTGTTCTGGATGCAGCCCAGGACACGGGTGGCTTTCTGGGCTGCCAGCGCACGGTGCCGGCTCATGTTGAGCTTCTCATCAACCAGCACCCCCAAGTCCTTCTCCTCAGGGCTGTTCTCAATCCATTCTCTGCCCAGCCTGTCCTTGTGCTTGGGATTGCCCTGACCCATGTGCAGGACCTTGCACTTGGCCTTGCTGAACTTCATGAGGTTCACCCAGGCCCACCTCTCCAGCCTGTCCAGATCCCTCTGGATGGCATCCCTGCCCTCCAGCGTGTCGACCGCACCACACAGTGTGGTGTCACTGGCAAACTGGCAAGGGTGTGCTTGATCCCACTGTCCGTGTCACCGACAAAGACATTAAACAGCACTGGCCTCAATACCAGCCCTAAAGCTGAGGCCCGTACGTAGCCAGATGAACTGCACCATCATCTCTGCTGACTTTACAGACTTGTGCTTGAGATGTTTAAGGACCAAAAGTCCCTATAGTGAGTGTATTGAGTGGTTACACCTGGGAATGAAATGCCAGGAGAGATTTGATGAAGTGCTGACAGGAGGTAGGCACTCAGCTGGCATTGAGGATCTACGTGGGCTGCCTACTTGCCTTCATTTTATGAACCTCACCCGAAATTGTTCCTGTTTTGTGCAGTGTGCTGAAAATGCCAAGTTCTTGGTGAGAGCTTCCTACCTGGAGATTTACAACGAAGACATACGAGACCTTCTAGGAGCTGATACCAAGCAGAAGTTGGAGGTGAGGTGGAGTCAGTGTGTCTCAATTAGGAAGTTCTTTAATTTGCTCAGATAAGTGCTATCACAAACACCTCGCAGAAGTGCAATAATATGCTCTGTCAGAAGCTGAACGCTGGAATAGTGATGAATATGGAAGCCAAGAGGAGATTTGGAGGGACTTTAGTGAAAAGTTTTGTGGCAGAAGGAACAGGATCCAGTCCCACTATCAGTCCTGCCTGATGGTGGCCAGTAGCTTAGCAGGAGCTGCGTAAAAATCAAGGATGGAATAAAGTGCTCGTGGGGCAATTTTTTCCTAATCCTCTTCCTCTGGCTGCTGCCTCTAAATCAGGAGGATTCTGTGCCTTATAAATGTTTAATCTGATCCAGTGTAGCTGCGGATGATCTCATTATCTGTCTCAAACAAAAAAAGGCTGATCCTTTTTGGAGGGCACAGAGCAGATATTACTCCCCGTGGGTAAGGAGGGCAGTTTCCAGGAACTCAAGAGGGTAAACTTTCCTGAAATCCTAACCAAGGGGTCTGATTTTTATAGAAATTATATCTTGGTGGCTTTGCAGATCTTTTTACCCGTGTTCCTGGGGGGAGCTGCAAATCTCCTGCCCTAATTGACTTCCCTGCAGGACTGCCCTTGTGAGGAAAACCGAGGCAGTAGCTCCATCTGCCGCACAGACGTGCCAAGATGGTGCCAGACCCAAACTGCCTCACGGGGCAGATTTTTTTTTTTGAACAGGCTCCTGTTTAAGGGAGGCCAAACCCATGTTCCAAGTGTGCTTTGCCTGTGCACGTCGAGAGAGAGAGAGGGTGGGAGAAGGGGACTCGCTGTTTCGGAAGGTGCTTGCTGCAGTTTCCCATCCTTTGTTCCACATCAGCAGTGATACCGGTTTCCATGACGACTGCAGTTGGCACTGGGAGGGCAGGAGTTGGGCAGAACAGTTGCCAGGGTAACACCATCGAGCTGGTGACAGCCGCTGCCTGTTGCTGCCTCCGCCCAGTAATTAAGAGAGTCATGTCCTGCAGAGACCAAAAATGCAGTCTGGCCCATAGATTTCACAGATTTCTAGGTTGGAAAAGACCTTAGAGATCATCAAGTCCAACCATCCCTAATCCCCATTAAACCATATTCTCAAGTAGATCATCCACCCTATTCTTAAACACATCCAGGGATGGGGATTCAACCACCTCCCTGGGCAGCCGATTCCAGTGGCTGACAACCCTTTCAGAGAAGAAATACTTCCTAACATCCAACCTGAATCTCCCCTGACTAAGCTTATACCCATTTCCTCTTGTTCTATCACCCATCACTAATGTAAAGAGCCCTTCCCCCACCTCCCCACCATCTTTTCTCAAGTATTTATAGGCCGTAATCAGGTCTCCCCTCAGCCTCCTCTT